CCTCTTCTTATGTCGACGTCGATGTTTCCTAGGGGGGGTCGACGGTGAAGAGGAAGAAGAAGAGGGGGAGAGATAAATGTATCTGACCCTCCGACGACGATGACGGCGGTCGGGCGACGTCGATGTCGAGGAGGAATAGGAGCGGTGTCTGGACCGACGCTTGTGTCGGCGACGATGAGAGCCGGATGAGGAGTCAACCGACGTCGATCTATGGCGACGTCGAGAGCGTTTGTGCCTGTCTCTGCTGTTTCTATGAGGTGAGACAGAGCGTTCCCTGGAACAATGCTTCCTCTTTGCCGGTTTCTTCCTCGGTGGCGAGGGAGGGTGAGGAGGTAGAGGAGATACAGATGGAGCCGGTGAAGCCCGCCCAGAAGACACAGGGCTAACAGGGGCAGAACCCAACCTTGTTGTTGCTCGAACAAGCTGACTTGGCGTCGGAGAGGGAGCGCCAAGGGGTATAGCCGGCTCAGGCTGACGAGGAGGAAGGGGGGGAGCCGCCCCCGATGTCGAATCTTTGTCTCTCGACAAATCCTCCAATAAAGGCGAGAGAAGGTCGACAGATCCCGGCAAAGCTTGGGATACAGCGTCCTTAGCCTTTGTAGAAGCCTTAGTTTTCGCCTGTTTTGCAGGTTTTGCGGGAACCGCAGCCTTGGACGTCGAAGATTTTTTAGAAGGCTTCTTAGTTTTTGCAGGTAGGTCCGAAGGCTTACTGGCCACTGCAAGGCTGGGGGCGCCCTCAGAATGGGAGGCTGAAGAGGTGGAGGGAAGCTCCATGGGCGAAGGTTGAGAAGCAGCCAGGGCTGAATTCCAAAGGTGTAGTTTCAGCCTCTGTTGTCGAGCCTTTAGAGCTGCCTTGGTAAACGCCTGGCAATGTTCACAACTCTGGGCCGAATGGGATTCTCCCAGGCAAAAAAGACAAGTGTCGTGCCCGTCCTGAAAAGGGATTTTACCCGAGCAAACGACACAGCGGCTAAAGGGGCCCGAGGGTGGAGGGGGCATAGGAGAATAGAGTGCTCGCAACGGCCGTTGGAAAGGGCGGGAAGACGTGAGACTCACAAGCGGCAAGCAGAGCGGCCGCTGAAGAAAGTAAGTCCGATAGGCAGTAGAAGAAGTCGTAAGACGCGCAATAGTCGAAAAACCGGGTAATCCTGACCAAAATAGCAATAGAAAAGTGCGAGAGTAGTGGAGCTCTACCGAGAAGAACCATTCCACACGGCGGAGAAATGGAACTGAGGATTGGGCAGGCGGAGCATGTGCAGTATAGATAATGTTGACAATGTTTCTCTTGCAGAGCTCTGGAACATTCCGAGAAGACCAGCGCAGGCGCTGACTTAACCCCTTATTGTGTGCATTCACAGAAGACCACGCAGAAGAAAGATTGGATTACCTTGCATTAAATGTAACAAGAGATGTCATTAAAAGACTGGCCATATAGTAACTATGAGATGCAACAGTTATATTGGGAACAATTACTGACACATTAAAAAACAACAACCTTCAATTATTTCTATATTTTTTCTGTTTCCTTTCCTCAAATATTCTCTTTTCCAAAGACAGTTTACGTGGCTTACCAATTCTTGAAAAACTGTATTCATTTCCTCCTTATGTAAAATTTCATAATGATTGAATGTTTCTTGGCATTTTTGTTCTGCCTGCAAGAGCTGCTGTCCTTTTTCTTCCTTTTCTTGCTCAACTTTTGATTTTTCTATTTCCAGTTCATTACGAAGGCACTGTATTTCTCCTGTAAGAACCAAATAGAGCTAGAGTATTAATTTATGCCATATTACCATTTATTTGAGCACTGATCATTTGCTCCAAAATAAACTGATAGCGAATAAATATAGGAAAATTCTCTTCATAGCCAGCCCCTCTACTATGCCCTCAATGGTGATGGAAAGGGTGTTTTCAAGGTATGCTCATTGATTAAAGATTATGTTCCTTATTGAGTTCATAGCACATGCGTCTGTACTGGTACTGTATCTGTATTGGAGTGCAAGACAGAATGTTATGGTTTATGGTATGGTGTCCTGACAGAACTGGAGCAGATTTTTAAATAAATTCTCATATACACAAATCCACACTATTTGTTTACACAATATATTTCTCATTTACTATTCTAAAAGTAAGGCAACAAATAACAAAGCACTGAAAAGTTACCAGAAACAGATCAAATTTCTATCCACATTCATGGTAAATCTATAAAAGCACCATTACATTTTTAGCCCTATAGTATTAATTCTTCTTTCTCATTCCAATTTTAAATATATGAATTTATACATCATTTAAAAATTATTTATTTTAAATATTTATATGTTGCCATTTTGTAACTAAGGCATGTGCCACTACGGCCAGATCTCCAGGAACGGGCACAGCTAAAACACTATTGTTAACTGTGACAAGACGCTCCTGGCCACCACTGAAATCTGAGCCTCCAGGATCAGAGATGAATCCAGGAACACTTACAATCTGCACACCTATGTTTTCAGAAGGGGTACAGTCCTATCCAGCACAGGCTGAATCCCTATTCCTTGATTTACCTTTCAAGTGACGAGGAGCACCTCTGCTTTGTCTGGATTAAGTTTCAGTTTATTTACCCTCATTCATTCCATTACTGACATGACACTTACTTAGAACTGAAACAGCTTCCTCGGGTTTAAATAAAAAGGAGAGATAAAGAGTTGGATGAACCCCAAAACTCCAGACAGCCTCTCCCAGTAGTTTCATGTAAATGTTAAACAGCAGAGGGGACAAACAAAAACTCTGAGGGACCCACAGCTCAACAGCCAGGGTGTCGAACAAGAGTCCCCCAACACCACACCCTTGAGTTCTTCCCTCTAGGAAGGACTGGAGCCACAGTAAAATAGTGCCTTCAAGTCCTGTCCCAGAGAGATGACCCAGCAGGATACCATGGTCAATACTATTGAAAGCTACTGAGGTCCAAGAGACCCAACATGCACATGAGCAGCCTCCTGCAAGCGCCACCACGCACATGCGCCCCCCACCCCGTGAGTGGAGAGCACACATGTGCCCCCACAAGCACTGCTGCGCACATGTGTGTGAGCACACTCTGCTCCCTGCAAGCGTGCTGCGTACATGTGCACAAGCACCCCCTGCAAGCACCACTGTGTGCATGCACGCGAGTGTGCTCCACCCCTCTGCGGGCGCACCCCCCATGAGCATGCCACGCCCCCTGCACGAGCATGCCACACCCCAACCAGTCCATGGTTGGGAAAAGTTTGGGGACCATTGAGCTACAGCATCCCTGTCCGAGCAGATCCGAGCAATTTTACCTCCAAATTTCTTAACATTATGGTCAATAGTAGGCCAAAATGTTCTAAAATACACAGTCTAGGGAGTGTTCACTTATACAAAAACTGCTCTTTCTTCTTTTGTGATCAACGGATCAATAAACATTTTGTTGATATTGCTGTTTTTCTGGAAGCCATACAGATACCGTACTACCCCTCAAAGGAATTTCTGAAAATATCTTACCTTGTATAACTTCTTTGGCCTGTGTGATTGCCTGAACTTTCATTTCCAAATGACCATTGTTAATTTCCAATTGAGACACTTGCTGCTGAGCTTGAAAGAGGCTCGATTCTAGAATATCTTTTGTCGATCTACAAATTACAACAGAATTATTCTTAATCTCTTACTTCTGGAAAAGGAGGATTCAATCCAGAATTCAGCAATGCCAGTTTAACTTGGATGCATAATTAGAAAAAACAAATCTATACATTTCAACCTTTCATCTACCCACTTAAATGTAAACATAATGATCTGTGTATATATTACAGATTACAGTAGTTTGTGGCAGTATGCAACTGTCAACCCGAAAACAAGAGAGTCAAAGTTCACAATAACAAAAACGCTTTTAAGTGTAGCTTGTGCTGATTTAAAGAAACTAGATCAGTTGAACTACGTGCAGGATTTCACATTTGGCTATGGCTGGAACATCTATCTTCTATGCAGTTATTGTACTGCTTCCATATAAGCAGAACTATCTCTGAAGTAAGGCTGCACAATTTAGACACAAAACCCTTCTTTGACAGAAAATCTTCTTTAAAACTCCAGAACTACTTGTCCAATAATTATTCAGTTAGTCTTAAATCTTAATCTTTCACACCTGCCTTCTCTCTGCAATCTCTTACCTGAACTCTGCTACTTGCTCTGTAAGGGTCAACCTCTCCCTCTTGGCAGCCCCCAGACGTACTTCCAGTGTAGACTTCTCTCGCATCAGCATCTCCTTTTCTTGGGACATCTTCGCTAGGACTTCTTTAAGATGATATGACTCCTGGTGTGCTTGTTCCAGATTGGTACTAGATGTTTCATGCTGGTGATGAAGCTGGAAAGACGGACAGAAAAAATCAATTTCTAGCATTGATGGTAATACCTGACAAACATGCATTGCGACAAACTGTGGCAGGAAAGAAGATCCTTTCAAGAACAGAAAATAATCCTCACATGTATGATGAAACTGCCTAGTACCCTTAAAGGAAAAATGAATCCATTACAGCTGGGCTTACTAATATATCAAACCTTCAATGTGAAGAAGTTTGCTTATCTACACGGAACAGAATACAGTGGTGCCTCGCTTAGCGACATTAATCCGTTCCAGGAAAAACGTTGCTCAGCGATTTCATCGCTAAACGGAATAAAAAAGCCCATAGAAACGCATTAAGACGTGTTTAATGCGTTCCTATGGGCTTAGAAACTGACCTTATGCAAAGATCCTCCATAGGGGCAGCCATTTTCGGTGCCTCTAAAGCAAGGCAAAACAGCGGGTGGCCATTTTGTTTTTCCAGCGGCCATTTTGGAACCACTTATCAGCTGACCGAAAATGGGGGCTTTGCGATGATCGCTTCCCCGCAATCATTGCAAAGCAATTTTTCCCCATAGGGGCCATCGCTAAGCGATCGCTCTGGCGATGGCCAAAACCCCATCGCGAGGCACCACTGTATGTATACAAAATTTATGTTTGTCAGAATTCCTATATTCACTGAATGGGTGGGCAAAGTGCATGGACTGAATGTAGCTCCCAGTGTTCCTCCTGCAGCTCCCTAAATCCTCAAAATGCACCCCTAAAAAGATTCTGGGGCACAGTTTATCTTGTTAAACATAACACTGGAATCCTGGGCCTGTTTTAGGCCTTTAAAAGCCCTTATAAACTGGGAGTGACTGGTTCATGACATCTACGAGAACCATATGCCATTTCAGAGACAATTTTCCCCTCGAGTTTCATGTGGCAGGAATGCTGGAAAATGTGAGCTCTTCCAAGATCTGAGGGAAAACCAAAATGGCCCAAGAGCCTCAAAGCCTATCCCCACCCTACCCCCATACCGAACTTACTGAAACAATTCACCAAGCAGTCAGATTTGAGAGAAAACTGTTGCTCTCCAGCAATAGTTACAGAACACATTTTCAGCATTTAAAGCCGTTTTAAGCATTTTAGTACAAATACGATTAGTAGGTGTCTTGTCAAACCTGATAAATAACCGTGAGAAATAAGATAATTATTATTCTTCTCTTACAACTAACACTGCTGCCATTATTTTTATTATTACTACCAACATTACTTGCAGTATGCAAGACCTTCCCCTTTGGAGCAACTGCTGTTGCTGACAATTGACCATGCAGACTAACTCTCAAATTATACTCACTTTATTCAGCTTCTCACAGGTTTCTTTCTGTTCATCTTTCAGCTCTCTCAACTCATCCTGTAAGCTATTCTGCAACTCATCAGCCTTATGTAAGAACTGCTCCAGCTGAATCTTCTCTGCACATAATTCCTGATTTGTTCTTTCAGTTTGTTTGAGCTGTTTCTGTGAAGAAACCCTTATTTTCTCTAGGTGATCCACTTTGTCCAAGAGCATCTGGTTTTCCTGCTCCAACTGCATCCGAGAAAATAGCAGCAACAGTTGAAGAATACTGTCTTAACACCTAGAAGACCTCCCTTCCCACATTCTGAATACAATTACAGTGGTGCCTCGCTTAATCCGTTCCGGAAAAAAACGTTGCTAAGCGAAAACATCGCTAAGCAAAATTAAAAAGCCCATAGAAACACATTAAAACGCGATTAATGCGTTCCTATGGGCTTAAAACTCACCTTTAAGCGAAAATCCTCCATAGCGCCACCATTTTCGCTGCCTCTTAAGCAAGGAAAAACAGCGGGCGGCCATTTTATTTTCCCGGCGGCCATTTTGAAACCGCCGATCAGCTGTTAAAAAAGGGTCGCTTTGCCATGATGGCTTCCCTGCGATCATCGCAAAGCGAAAAAAGCCCATAGGGACCATGGCAAAGCGATCGCTTTTGCGATCGCAAAAACTCCATAGCTAAGCGATTTCGTCGCTCAACGGAGCGATCGCTATGCAAGGCACCACTGTATGTATTATTTGTACTTTCTCTAATTGCACATGAGAGCTGCTCATAAATCTAGTTCCTCTGGAACCTTCTTCTTACCTTCAAGATTAGTTGATTCAACTCCACTTTGTCCACTGCTAGAGCTTCATTAAGAGCACTCATTTTTGTAGTCACATCATGAAGATCAGCAATTTCTGCCTTCAGTTTATTATGTGCACTGGTTAACTCTGCAAGTGACTGCTCAGTCTTGAGAAACAAATAAACGAAATAATGAAAATGTCAAACCAAAACATACTTGTTGATAACCAAACACCACATTTCTCCACAGCGATTTGGATTAAAACAAACAAACTCAGTTTTATTTATAAATGACAGCATTCAGATATAACAATAAAAATATGGTTCACTGAAAAAATGAGTATGTTTGAACCTAGCATGCTTTTTTGATTCCTCTTTTCCTCCACTGTGACCATGACAAGACAAGAGTCTTTCACTTCAACATTCAGTTGCTCACTTTAGTTTATTTTTTTAAAATTATCATTTATAGTTTATCATTTATACACAGACCAAGGGTGATTTGTTCCACTAAGCCAAAATTAAGACTAGTCAGTTTGCTTGGTTTAGACAAAACAATAAAAGGCTATTAAAAATGGAAGCAAACGCTTCCATGCTTCTCTTCACAGCCATGCTTGAGGAAGGTAAGAGGGAGCTGAAATGTACCTACTGTACATTTATTCCCATAGCAATACATCACAATTTATGGTTACATCTAAACTAGGCAAGTGAGGCTTTCCTACTATAGCCCCAAGCACCCTAAAAACTGCTTCTTATAGAAAAGAGGCCTTCTAGAATGGTACATAAATCAAAAGGGAGGGCCACTGGAAATATTCATAAACCCTTGTGCAAGCAGAAGTGCCTTTGCTCATCCCAAAAATGTTTGATTCTTTAGATTACTATTGTTCTCACTCTTTTATTTTCCCTGTCCCCCATCCTGGAGGGTGTTTATGGATGCTATTATAGCAGGAAAAGGCCACATTAGTATTTCTCAGATTACATGGAAGTAGGAAATCTACCTATGCTTAGAACAGGATTTTAGTCATTCGAGGTCCTTCCCATTTCCATGATCCTTTAATTGTATGTCCCACTATGCCCTCTCCCATTCTCCTAGCGTTTCTCTTTCCTGTGTAGATAGCCTTTCATCCACAGCTTAAATTCCCAAAGAATTGCTTCTCTGTAGTCAAAGTTGTTGTTTGATCAGGAAAATTAAAGCAACAGCAAGTATTTTCTTTCCATGAACCTGTTACTGGGATTGTTTATATTAATACCAGAAAAATGGCCCAATTGCCAGAACTGTGGTTATTTCAACAAAATGAAAAATTTGAGTACAATTCTATAGCATAATTCTCATTGAGATTAGAACTAAACACAACATGCTTTCCACCAATTTCTCAAAATCGGAAAAAGCTTTGAGAAGCTGTCTCATTAAAGGGAAAAACAGCTACTGGGATGAGAGGAGGACATTATTTCATCATTACTGATCCAAATATTTTCTTTCCATGAAGGAAATGACAGGGTGTGAAGCAGGTTTTTTTTCATATTGGAAAAATAGTGGAAGGGGGGGATTTTAAGGAGAAAGGGTTAAACAGCAGTCTTCAACTGTTCATTTGTCCACCTGAAGCTTCCCAAGGCGAATTTTAATGAAGGAACCTGTTTTATACCTATATTTTTATGGTCCTGCTTCTTGTCCTGTCCAGAACAGAGCAGAATTTTTGAATCTTTGAAGTCGTACTATTATGCTCACACACCACCAGGATTTAGCATTTAATAACTACATCATAATCTATGATGAGTCTCCTCCTTGAAGATAAGAGTACATTCAGTCTATGTTGGAAAAAGCTGTGAAATTTGAGCTATTTCCTCTTCAACATAAAATTGCAGGTAGAATACAGAAACTGATGTAACACTAAGAACAACTATACCTGCTCTAGTGCTGAAGTCAGTTCATTTTTTTCTTGTTTCAACAACTCCTCATCAAGACGAGATTTTTCAAGTTGTTCTCTCACAGCTAGCAACTCATTTCTTAATAAGGAATGCTTTTCTTCCAGGGCATTTCGATCTTCTTGACTAGACAGGAGGAAAACCATAGGTGCCTTGTTGAAGAAGGGAACTAAATAAATATGTCATTGTTGAAGTCAAGATGCATCTTTCGTTTCTTATTCTAGGAGCACGGATATAGTGCCAAAAATGAAGGAAATGTACATCTTTTAATTAGTTCCTTGTTCCCTATAAAGCTATAATGAAATGGAGAGGCAGAGGTACTAAGACCAAGATTTTAGAAATTTAACAAATTGCCATTATCCCTTATTCTTGTTCTAATAAGACAGAGCCTATGCAGTGTAATGGCTTTAACTGAGCAAACCGTTTTTACTCAGTCCTTGACTCGGCAATATACTCACCAACTAGCTTTCGGTAACCTACTTTCTCTCAGCCTCAGTGGCTTCATATTCCCACTTAAAATATGGGGTATTACCATATTATCGTAGCTTACAAAACTGATACAAATACAGAGCATTGATGTTAATTATTACAATAACCTTTAACTATAATTATAATCAGTTATAATTATGATAAATAAAACATTTATCTTACTCCTCAACCTCTACTGCTATACAACAAAAAAGCACACAGAGCCTTCAAAGTTGGCACAGAAAAAGCACAAGTATGTAGTTCAGATGTTCATCCCTAGCAGTGTCAAACGTGTTGTTCCACAGGTCAGTAAACTGTAGAACCACCTGCTACACAAGAAAGAATGTGCTAACTGGGAAAAGAACGGTACTTTCTCAGCACAAACATGCTGCTCTTTGAGGAAGAAAAGACAAAGGCTCACAGGTGTTCTCTCTCCCGCAGCATCCTTTCCAAGTCTTGCTGCTGGTCTTCCTTTTCCCCATTCATCATGTCTCCTTTAAGCTGTAATTCAGTGTTGCTACAACGCAAGTGACAAGCCTCCTGTTCTAAGACTTCCAGCTGCTGCTGCAATTCTTTCTGAGACTTCTCGAGGGATGCATGGTCACTGTGGAGTAGCAGTTCCCAGTTAGAGAAAAAAAATAAAAGCAAAACTACATGGAAAACCTTTGTTTGTGTTTATCCAAGTGATATTTTCCAAGCGGCCTAATAGCTGTTGAAGAGAATCCATGAGAAGAAAATTGTTGAAGACCTGAAAATGGTGGCATCATTCCCACTTCAGAGATAAAAAGGCCAATCACTGCCTTTCTCAGCCCTGAAATAGCAAGGTGCCATTTTACAAAACTGTTGGCAAACAACCTATCTGGGGAGAGAGATTTCAAAGAACACAAAACATGAAACAGTTATTTAGCAATATGATATATTCCACAACATATATTTCTAAAGCAAAAGTGGGCAACTATGGCCCTCTTGATGTTTTCTGACACCATACAGTCATAGGTTTCCTGCATTGGTAGGAGTTGAACCAGCTGAACCTAACAATCTGTTCCAACTCTGCAGTTCCATGGTTTTACAATTTTCCACAATCCCTCCCCTCAAGCTATAGCAGCGGTTCCCAGCCTTGGGTCCCCAGATGTGGTAACCTTGCTGAAACATTGGAAAACCATGTGAAGGCAAAGGTTACGTTGACCCTGATTCTGCAGCCAAATATAATAACATTATACCTGCCTTTATCCGGAGCTGATGCATGAGGTCATTTGAACACAGGTGTTGTCACTTCAGATATCTATATTGGAGTAATAGTTTCTCTGAGCACATCACTTCTTATCACTTAGCACAGGTGAAATCATGTCCAGATTACAGTACAAAATGTAAACAGCCACACCTGAAACTAATAATGACTGTCTCACTCTGTACTATAAATAAAACTCACACAGAAGTGTGAGAGAGATTCATTTCTCCCTGATTCCTGCCTCCGTGTGCTTCTTCATCCTGGAAAGGATCCCCAAAGCATTTCTACACCCAGATTTTTTTGTACTAAAACTCCCAGAAGCCTTCACCACTAACTGTGCTATCCAGGATTTCTGGGAGTTGTAGTTCAAGAACATCTGGGGACCCAAGGCTGGCAACCACTGAGCTATACTGTCTCAAGTTGGTGAGAGCTGGAGTCAAAAAAAGGAGCTGGACAGCCACAGATATCCAGTGCTATCCCAAAGAGTGGAAAAGGCACACACATGACTGACCTCCGGAAGGTGTCCAATGTAGAATGAAGATGTTGAAGTTGGTCAGTAAGCGTGTCTCGTTCTCGTTCCATTTGCTCCAGCTTTTGTCTCAAAAGGCAGCAGTACCCTTGCTGCTGCTCTTGTTGCTCTTCCAAAGAACTGACAGTATTCTGACTGGCTAAGAGCTGCTGTTTCAGGTGCTGCAGAAGGAAAAGGCAAACTATAATGGTCAGCAAAAAATGATGACAGATCATGGACACTGAAGGGGTATTACATACAAACAGAGCTTCATAGCTGTCAGCTCACAGATTAGAAGCAGGTGGAGACGGAAGGAATGCTGCATACAGACACATAAAAAGACTGGGACGTTGGGCATAAAGAGCAATTAGAAGAGTAGAAGTGAAACCAAAGGAGTGGGACCTGCCACAAAGCGTTAGGCATCCTTCAGTCTCGAGAGACTATGGTAACGTGCTCTGTATGGAGGACTAGGAACACCATCTAGTGTGGCTGAGAAGGCCAATTCGAGAGTGACAATCTCTTCCACAATGAGGACAAATACAGTCTGTCCCCTGTCCAGCTCCCTGATTTTGCTGCTTCTGGGACTGGCTTTTTGCCTTGGCCTGCTGAACAAGTGTCTCTTCAAATTGGGAGAGCCCATGCTGCACCGCCTGCCTCCAGGCTGAACGCTCCGATGTCAGGGTTTCCCATCTGTTGAGGTCCATTCCTAAGGCCTTCTGATCCCACTTGCAGATATCCTTGTAGGATATCATTACACAAAGAATAATGACTGCCCAAAACACTCTGAAGGAACTACGGAAAGAGGTTAACAGGAAGAGGAAGATAGCTGAAATTTAGAATGCAGGACCTAATAGCAAATAAAAGTGTTGCAGCAGTGTGACTTGTGCTAGAGCTCGCAAACATTATTTTTTTGGACAACTCTCCAACTCTCCTAGTGGCTAAACTAACTGGGGGATTCTGGAAGTTGCAGTCCAAATAAACAATCTGCACAAGTACTGACATTGTTACTGATGAAAAACTCTTATTAGTAGGAAAGCAACTGAAAGCTTCTCACCTGCACTTCATTGCTTCTTCTGCTCAGCACATTACGCACAAGGAAGAGAGTACCACGTGGGTCACCAAGCTTCTGTTGCAAGGAACTACAAGGCTCAGCATGGTTCTCAGCTTGCAGATTGCAAACGGTTTCATCACTCTCATTTATTACTGCCTGAAATCCAAGACCAGCATTACTTTTCCAGTTCTGTAAATTCATAACACCAGTTCACACTACTTGTCATTCAACTCAGTCTTAACTCTTGAGAAATCATTAAACTGAAGACAATTTATAGGAGGAAAGATTTATTTTTATTGCTGGCCTTTGTGTGTCTTATTTTTTGCTGCTTCTTTCTTGTATGAGATTCTATGGCATGAGATTTTATCATAAATGCCACATTAGGTGGGCTTTGGCACTAGGCAGCCTAGACATATTTTAAATACATACACTGCAGAATTAAGGAAAATTACCCCAATGAGAAATGTAGGTGGCAAAAAATGGTAAAAGGAATAAAAAGCCCAAGAATTGTTTGTAAAATTAATAAAAAGGAAAGGAAATAGCTACAGTACTTTCTAATGTACAGAATAAATGAGTATATTATCAACCTTGTTTAACTAAAAATAGGGATATGTTTACACCAGAATGTACCAGTGCCCAGCCTTATAATGAGTTTTAATGCCACAGTTTAGTGCTGAAATTGGAGGTTGAAAAGTTTCTTCTGAATTACAATTCTAAAATCTTCTAGGCATCTAGCTGGGAGATTCTGGAGTCTAAAAAAGTTAACTCATCCAAGTTCTGCCCATATGAAGCAATAAATACAGAAGCTTTACAGCCAACTTAAGTTTATTGCTTTGCCTTGTCCATATTTTCTTTTCTTTTGTATCATTTTTTATTCTATTTTATGTTTTTATCCCACCTAAATAGTGGCAGAGCCATTACTCTGAGCAGCTAAAAAAAAACATAGAGTAATAATAACAACAATAGAAAACAAACAGACAAAATTCCTGAAAGTGCAGTAGCATTCAGGACAGAAGAATATATATATTTTTTAAAAAAGGTGGCAGGCAGGGAAAGATAATTACAATGACTTAATTTGGGTCAAGTTATGAGAAGGGTTGTATCCCATAACTTGACTTTTCCAAATTCTATCTGAAATACATGAACGCATGAATGTACCCCTGTGCAGAGTGCACAAAACCTGTCTGACATTTAGAACATATGCTTACACTGAATTTACTTTAAATTAAAAAAAAATACAAGAACTTCTACAAAAGGACTATAATCCCAATTATGCCTACTTGACTTATTTCTTTTATCACATGTTGAAGAGAAAGGATCTCTTCATTTACATTCTTGCTCAATGATTGTTCATATTCCATCTCCAAACGATTAGCCTCCTAGAAAAAGAACAAGGGTGATTAGGAGAGTCCAGACATTTCCCCAGACATATCACATGTCTTCAGAAGAATGGATTAAATAGGAAAGACAACATAATACCAACAGATATCTCCTTGTGCCTAATACTACATTGGCCAGAATTAATATGCCAAGTGAAATCATCTAGTTAAAGAAGAAGAAGAAGAAAAGTTCCATCTCTAGGCAGGCCAAGCAGATAGAAGCTATGGATGGAAAAGATGACAATAATAACAATAAGAACAGTAAAAAATCAGCAAGTTTCTCACTATACAATAAAGATGATAATAAGAAGAAGAACAGTAAAAAAATCAGCAAGTTTCTCACTATACAATCCCGTTCTGGCATCAGCATAACCATGCAAATACAAACCACTGGTTTTAGACATCTCTCTTCTAGTACTGTTCATCTCTGTCACTAGCAGTGGATGCACTGAATTACCACTGAGCTATACAGAAGTTAATTGTTCCCCTTCATATTTAGAGCAAAAGAGAGAGGTTCTTCGCTGAATTATTTTCTTAGACACTCTACTAACACACCAGAATCTCCAGACTGTCCCTGAGAGACTTCAAACTCTTCTCCTTCTCCTCATTCTGTTTTTGAGACTTTTCAAGCAAGGCAGTCAACTCAATCACCCTAGGAAAAGAAAAGCAGTAACACAAGATTTTCATTTTACCCCAGCAATATTTTGCATATAAATGAAATCCAGCACTTTTAAAAATTCTAACGGGAAAATGAATTCTGAATACCTTTTCATATGTTTAAAATCATCATCCCCAGCAGTGTCTATTTTACCAAACAGAGCATTTTCCAACTGAAATTTTCCATTTATCTGTTGAAATACCTCATGCCACTGCTCAGTATTATTCCAGCATTACATACAACACAATGGCCAACTTTCCTATATGCAACACCTTCTTCTAATCCAATCTGTATGAGTACCAAAACTGAAATCCCATATGCTCTGCTGATATCTACAGTAACTTCCCACATAAAACCACCAGAGACCAGTTTCCAAATCCAGCATAAATTTAATACAAAGAAAAGGAGTCCAGGATGTGAAACAGAGTCTCTCTCTTTCTTTATGTGACATCTGAAGAAAGCAATTCTAATATCCAAACTGTTTAATCTAGGACAGGGTGGACAAACTGCAGTACCCCAGATATTGCTGGACCACAACTTGCAGTATTCCTTGCCATTGGCTATGCTGGCTAGGGCTGATGCTAGATGCAATGCAGCAACATCTGCAGGACTCCACTTGTCCCATCCCAATCAAAAGCGTTATTTGCATCTCTGCTAGTTTATAACCCCTGTCTGCAAACCAAGATATTTTTATCCCCTTTTTCTATTTTAGTGCCACTCTGGATCAGAGTAAATGTGTGACAAGTGCCTGACAAATTTTAGTAGCAGATGCTCTATTAAGAAGTAGGCAATTGTGAAGTGATTGGTCCCCATTCACTCATTCCAAATATTTGGCATATAGCAACATGAATATGTATCCTAATCATTTGCATCACAAACAGATTTTCTTTTGTCAACAACCTGTCCATTACTACGCCAGATCAATCGAGCAGTACACTCCTCTTTGACACAACAAAAGCTAATGATCTCATTTGAAGTAAGTTGTATCATCTCAGCAAATCTAGTTTTTAAAGCCATATTTACTAACAATTTTTAAAATGTTTATTTTATTAAAATCTGTTTTGTTATTAGCAAAGTTTGCAACTTATATACCGCTGCATAGCACTGAAAACACTCTCTGGGCAGTTTACAATTTAATTAGGCAAGCTACACATTCCTCTCCCTCCACAAGCTGGCTACTTAATTTACCAACCTCAGAAAGAAGAAAGGCTGAGCCAACCTAGAGCCAATTACCTGAGCCTGATGGGACTGAACTCAGGTCATGAGCAGAGTTTTGGCTGCAGTACTGCAATTTAACCACTGTGCCACAAGACTAGTTAGAGTGAACAGATAAAAGATTCTTAAATATTACTGATAAAATGGCCTTTAGCTGATCAGTCAATTTTGTATAGGCCCACACACACACAAAAATTAACAGAAAAACATTTTCCACAAGAGACATGATGTAAAACTATTATAACAGAAATGGGAAAGAATTACAGCATTAAAACAAAATATGCATCCTAAATTATACAGTGGTACCTTGCAAGACAATTACCCCACAAAACGTTTTTTTCACTAGATGTTGACTTTTGAGATCTCTATAGCGATTCGCAAAATGGTTTTTCCTATGGGGGGATTTCGCTGGACAATGATTTGGTCTGTGCATCGCAGACCATTTTTTCGCAAGACAACGATTTTTACAGCTGATCGGCGGCTTCGCAAAATGGCTTCTCTATGGGCGATCTTCACAAAACGGGTGTTTTCGGGACCGATACTTCTCAGGACAGCCATTTTAACAGTTGATCGGTGCTTCACAAAATGGCTTCCGTATGGGTGAATTTCGCAAAACGACAACTATTTTCCCCACTGGAACTCATTAAACGGGTTTCAATGCATTCTAATGGGGAAATGCTTTTTGCTAGACGATGTTTTCACAAGACAGCGATTTCAGTGGAACAGATTAACATCATCTAGCGAGGCACTACTGTATAGTCTTAGCTCTGCTAGCAACTCCAACCTGAATCTTAAAAAGTATAACAAGCAAAGAGCAGTCAGTGGTCCTTTTAAAAAAGTACTTTACCTATTTTGAAGATCTTCCTTTGCCAAGTCTCCTTTGACACGTAAGTTCATAATTGCTTGTGCTTGCTGGTATATGTCCTTTTCCATATCTGTTTTCTCAGGGCTCAAATAAGGCTGCTGCTCTCGCATCTGGCACCTCTGAACAGAGCTTCCTACACTGCTAGTCTCCCAGCGCTGTGTTTCAGAATTTAGACGGAAGCAACTGACAAGTATAGAGCCAGAAAGTCTCACTTGCTCAGCCTTTAACTCAGACAGGTCCCTGAAGCAAACACAAAAAATACCATGGTGAACTGAAAAGGTTTGCTCTATGGATTACGGCCAATTTGGTCCAGTGTTTGTAGTGTCAGACCTTGGCTGGGAAGACCAATTTCAAATCCCAAGTATGCCATGAAATTCATTAGGTGATCTTGTGCTAGATACTATCTCTCCTCTGATGTACCTCACTGGGTTGATACATGTAATGGGCTGATAATCATCTATGCAGCATTGAGATTCATGGAGGAAAAGTTCAGCATTATACACCACATTACTGATACAGTCTTAATCCACATTACTGATACAGTCTTTGACAGCCCATCATTAGGCTGTCAAAAAAAACACATTTTCTAAAACTTTCAGTATCCACCAATCTACTATGCAGCTCTCATGGTCACCACAGCCTCCAGTTCCCAATGATCTAATTTTTCATTGTCTGCTGAGCCATGGATCAGGCAGTCATAGCAGAATTTTGGATGAAAATATTGAGAAAAACAGAGGGAAGAGGTAGACATGAATTGGTCTTCCTGTCTCGCGGGAGAAGGCACATGTTATAGTTCTATTGGTGTACAGAGAAAGGGTGTTGCCATATAAAATTTGTCAGCAAATAATTTCATTGTCACAGAATAATCTGTTCTTCACCTGTCAGTTGCTGTCTTCATTTCCATATAATAACGTCGTAATGTCACCACTTGACGCCATATCCCAAGGATACGATCATGTTCCGCCTGCATATAACTCTCAAAGAACTATACATGTGAAAACAAGTGAAAATTTTGTTTATTTCTGCCCATAAGAGTTCAGGCTTCAGAGAGTATATGGGCATCCTCTTTCAAGGATAACCTGTCAAATCACTGCTGGTGACATTCAGAATGACTTTAAGAATCAGCCAAACAAACAAACAAAAAGTAACTATCACAAATTTTGAGCCATTTTTAGTAGTTATCAAGTGCTACTCTCTACAACATGAAATTTACATTATTTTGTTGTGGACTGGCCAACTGTTGAGAAGCTTGGCAAGCTCACTAATCTTATAAGGCAGAGGTCGTTAACCCCCAGTCCGCTGCCAGTCTGTAGCCTGAGCCGGACCGGGCCACAAAGACAGATCTCCCGCCCCCCTGCACGCACTCCACCCCACAGTGCAAAGGAGTGGGGGGAAGCTCCAGCGCATGCGCAAAGGGGTAGGGGAGCGATTGCATGCGTGCTGGCATGTGTGTGCACGCTCCCCACTGCTTTGTGCATGCACCTGAGAGCGCACTCACATAAGAGAGAGAGCGCTCCTTCGAGCGTGCACACGAGGGTGAGTGAGGGGGTGCCACGCCTTCCTCAGCCGGTCTGCAGTTCCGAACCGCTGTTATAAGGTGCAAATATTTTCACTTATAGGTAAAGGAAAAGGTTCCCCTTGACAATTTGTCCAGTTGTGTCCAACTCTAGGGTGCGGTCCTCATCCCCTGTTTCCAAGCCGTAGAGCCAGCGTTTGTCCATAGACAGTTTCCGTGGTCACATGGCCAGCGTGACTAGACATGGAACGCCGTTACCTTCCCATCAAGGTGATACCTATTTATCTACTTGCATTTTTACATACTTTTGAACTGCTAGGTTGGCAGGAGCTGGGACAAGCGACAGGAGCTCACTCCGTCGCATGGATTCAAACTGCTGGTCTTACAACCTTGCAGCCCAGAGGCTCTGCAGTTTAACCCACAGCACCACCAATTCCCAAGTATATTCACTTATACAGAGGTAAATACAGGCACAGTAAAAAGATATAGCATTATGCACAGTGGCTTGGGTTTTATTATCTCATAATACTAGAACTGAGTGGAATCCAAAGAAGCTAAATGGTGGAAGATTCAAAGACAGATAAAATGAAATATCCAGTAAGGTTTGTCTCATGTTCCTAAAAATGTGTTCATAGGAAAATATTTTTCAAAAACAGCAGCTAAATATTTTATTTTACCTATTTAATGCCTCCCTATTATTGTTTGCTATGAATATATAGGCTTGATGCATGGCCTGAACACAAATACAAGAATGCTCTTCCATGAAAAATACAACTACTGTCAGGAACATACACAGTACATCCATTTTCACTAATCTGAATACAGTGTTCTGTAGAAAATTAATCTGACTCTAAACAGGTGCTCCTGTGTTCTTATTCTCTCTCAAAGTAAACCTACTATCACAACACATTTGGCAGATACTTTTATTAGTGATTCAAACACTAATCTATCTCGCTAATTCCAAATCTTCAGGTAGACAGGCCCCAATTTCCCCTTCAAGCACAACAAAAACATCCCATCACTTAAAGTATGGGGGTATTTGTATATGAATATCCCCGCACAGGTGGAAACAACAAGGGTCCACTCACGATTTTACCACTGCAGCCCGCTCCGCAGAGGCTTCCTATCACGCTTGTCTCCACAATGGATTAGCCATTCTCCAACCTAGTGGAGAGGCTTGTCATCCCACCTCCTGCCAGGACTGGGTAATCAATTGCGAACAATGATGTGATAAGAAGGTCCAACAAGCTCACGTCAGTGGCGAAATTGTGAGTGGACCCTCGTTATTTCCACCTGTGCAGGGATATTCGTATACAAATACCCCCATCTCTAGTTCTGATATGTAAAACCATAGAATTCAAAGAGGGTGTACTTTCTTTATCACATGACTGTATGAGACTCTTCCACAGCACTAAAACTACCAAAACAATACACCTTTGAATGTATTATAAGTTAATCTCTCTCACACATTTACTTGTCATTGCCACCAAATGCTTACTGAGTAGGAATCTTGTGTTCCATCTGCCTAGATAACACAAAGTTATCCAAACAGCAAATTCATCGTCCCCAATGTAATCCTGAATCTTATTACTGACCAGTCCTACCTCCCGTTCTTTGTGCCATTCACTCTCCTTGAATTCCAGTTCAGCCCTGGCTTTTGTCCAGTCAGCTGTCAGTTTCCTGATATCCTCTTGGAGAGCTTCATTCACTTCATTTGCCTTGTCCAAGTGCTTCCGGAGCAAAATATTCACCCCGGCCAAATTCTCACACCTGAAGTACAGAAGAAGAGCAATAAACTAGACATGATGAACTTGTAGCACTATTGCTCTTGCATGGTTTCCTCTTTTTTTAAAAGCATATTTACTTACCTTTGCTGCTCTTCCTCCAACTGAATCAGAGCTTTCTCTAAACTACGGTCTTCTTTGTAATCTTGTAGACATGCATGGGACTCCTTTGTGAGAAAAGTAAATTCGTAACTTAGTTATACTTCTTTGTTAGCTTTCTGCTTATTTCTTTACAAAATAAGACAGAAGAAATGCTACTAAGAACCAGGAATATTGCATATAGAATACAATGTTGCCTGGTAGTTATTGTGAGGAACCGCCATGTTGGTTCCAATTTATGGCAACACTATGAATTAGTGACCTCCAAAAAGTCCTGTCATTAACAGCCCTGATCATATCTTACAAACTCAAGACCATGACTTCTTTTTGAATCAATTTTGACTGGATTCCTTGTTCAACTCCATAGATGAGGCATGGTAAATGTACAATAGCCTCATCTGAAAGAATCCTCAGATGCCAAATGATGGGAATCAAGGCCTTTACCAAAGTAGATTCCTATCTTATGCTTTCCTGAAAAAAAAACCAAAGAGTATCATTTACATATCTAAGACTTAACACAAATGTTAGTCCCTATCAAAGTAAAGCCACTAAATCAATATGATATATTTAAGTGTTGACTCACCATTCAGAAGCTGATTCAATAGGGTTTAGTTGGCAATTGCAACTGGATTTACACCCTAATTTCTTTTAACACTGACTGCAAAGTGAAGCAGCCATCAGCTTCTTCTTCATTCCTGCCAAAAGCCATCCAATGGTGCTTCCAAAGTGGAAAGATCAACTGACAGGGTGCTCACATTGCCCAGGGGACACCCAAATGTATTTACAGTCCTCACATTCTTTAGAGAAGCTCCAAAGAGCCCACAGCCATCAACTAAAGAATTGATAGTCACTAGTTTATTTTTCTCATGGATTGCTGCCTTGTCGGGGCTTGAAGGGGCTTGAGTAACTCAGAGAAGCTATGGGCTATGCCATGAAGAGGCACCCAAGATGGACAGGTCATAGTGGAGTTCCAACTAAATGCGATCCACCTGGCGTAGGAATTGACAAGCCATTGACAATACCCCATGAACAGAAACAAAAGGCTAAAATATATGACGCTGAAAGATGGGCTCTTCAGGTCAGAAGGTGTCTAACATGCTACTGAGAAAGAGCGGAGGACAAGTACAAGTAGCTCCAGAGCTAATGAAGTGGCTGGGCCAAAGCCGAAAGGACGCTCAGCGGTGGACGTGCCTGGAAGTGAAAGGAAAGTCCAATGCTGCAAAGAAAAATATTGCATAGGAACCTGGAATGTAAGATCTATGAACCTTTGGAAGCTGGATGTAGTCAAACAAGAGATGGCAAGAATAAACATTGACATCCTGGGCATCAGTGAACTAAAATAGACAGGAGTGGGTAAATTAAATTCAAATGATTATCATGTCTACTATTGTGGGCAAGAAGCCTGTAGAAGGAATGGAGTAGTCCTGATAGTCAACAAAAGAGTGGGAAAAGCTGTAATGGGATATAATCT